CATAGGACTGTGAAGATTCTCAGTAGGGCGAGTGGTGGTATGCCATTGGGTCATATCGTTAAAATCGTCATTGACCATGGGCACTTGGTTTTGGCAGACTGTGAGCATCCACTTTGCCTGCAGCTTTCACCTTATGTCTCCCAAGGTAAAACAAGAAGTCATTTTAAAAGAATTGACGTGTACGCGTCTGAGTAAAAAATTCCACCATACCATATTTGGCACGTATTTTATGTGATGAAAATATTGTCAGGGTCGAACTAACTAACCTTCTTACCACTAGTAAATAAACCATTTCCTCCACCCTTATAACATCAAGCATAATTGTTATTGTTCCTCTTATATTTATAATCCTCTCAATTTTTGTTTTTATTTGTTTATTTTCTCATAAGTGTGAACATCACTTAAGCTATGTTACAACTATTTATTTTGTATTTCCCCTCACCATACTACTTCAACAGACCATTAGATTCAATACTCTATAACACGCTAAAATTTTCAAACTGAATCGACAATACTGTTTGAAACAAACGCGTTGGTATTATTATTATTATATTTAATATTCTCAACTCGTACTTCAAATATTTTTGACTTTATACCGTAAATGTGAGCAAATTCCTCTGGTTAATTTTATTTATATTTTGAGTAAATCAGATGCAATATTGTGACAAATGTTGAGAATTCCATTCTGCATTATAAGTACTGTTTTTGGAATAAAGTAGATTATTATTACTAATAATAATATCGCCACCATATCTCACAGTGAATGCATCAAAACTAGATCAGTTAACATTATACAACATTTCAGTTCTTCTTAACTTCACAGATTTTTTCAATCGACAACGATCACCATCCATTGTGGGTGATGGTGGATAGACTTTAAGATTATGCAATACTCGACTACCACAGGCGAACTAATTGAGCAGTCAGAGTCAATAACAAGAATGCTCTTTGACTAATCCTTGATTTTCATTGCATGTATATCATAAACAGCTTTAATATTACACCAACTATTTAAAATTGATGCTCACTGACGCTCACTAGCGACTGGCTAAATGACGAAGTTGCCAGGAGTTCTGGTGCGAATTCGTGACCAGTAAGGCCCAGCGGTTAGGACGCTCGCCGACCATGCACATGGTCCGGGGTTCGATCCCCGGCCACAGACTCACTCCTTTACCTTGCTAAACCAGAAATAATGCTGGTGAAGAGGAAAGGTTGGCCATGAGGCTAGCAACCCCATTCTGTAAAATAAACACTGCTACAGAAACTTCAAGCCACTAGCTTGAAGCCCTATGTTCCACTGGGAACGTGAAGGAATAAAAAAAGAGGCCCAGCCGGTGGGCAGTAAGGATATTGGCTGGTAATTGCGCTGACCACTGAGTTGGGTTCCAGTGGCTGAAATGGTCTGCGAGTCCGCCTTGTAACTAAAAGGTCCTAGGTGTGAACGCCTTTGGTGGGTGAGCACTACTGAAGAGTCACAAACTAGGATTAAAAAAAAGATAGCTGTCCAGCACTCTCTGGTTTCTGAGTGGCTGGCTCTCTAACTGATATCAATCCGTCAGAAAACTTCAATTTAATCATATCCTTACAAACTCACTCTTAAAAAGATAAAATTTGCTTAGCAAAAATGCTAAAATAACCAAATGCCAACAATTTTAGTCAGTTCTACACATGACGTGTCAATTTCCATTGTCTTTAGTTCATTTCAAAATAATTTAAAAAAATTCAATTCAACATTTAATGTAACAAATTATGACAACTTTCATTTCAATCTAGGCAAGTGATAAAAAAACAACTTTAGAATACTAAAACAGAAATAAACTGACATAATATTGAAAAATTAAGACAAAAGCTGATGCGTAATAAACTCAATACATTGAGCAAGGAAGAAATTCGTTGTCGTCTTATTCTTCTTCAAAAAATATGAGTTAATGATATTATTATTGTTATATTTTATCATTCTTCTTCTTCTTATTGTTCCCTTGGGTTCCTAGTAGAACATAGGGCTTCAACTGCACGTCTCCACTTGCTTCTGTCTTCTGCTGTACTTTTCACCTGCATCCATGTTAGTCCATACTCTTTCAACTCCTCTTCTTACGATCTCCTCCATGTCACCCTTGGACTTCCCACTCGCCGCTCACCTTTCGGGTTTCACTCAAGTGATGGCCTGACGCGCGATGTCACCCAGTGGCCTCCTCAGTGAGTGTCCAATCCATCTACACTTTCTCCTGCATATTTGTTGAGCGATTGGTTCTTGTTTTGTTTGTTCCCATAGCTTCTTGTTGGTGATTCTTTCCGGCGGCCATCTGATCTTGAGTTTAGAGCGAAGGCAGTTGTTGATATGTGTCTGCAACAGGCTGTTGGAAATATTCTTCGTGACCCGCCAACTTTCTGATCCGTATAGAAGAACTGACTGACTTGACGTTTGTACTGAAAATCTGAATTTTGTTGTTGATGCTGAGTGACAAAGATTTCCAAATTGGTTTCAGGTTGATGAATGTGTTTCTCACCTTCCCGATTCTGGATTTGACATCCTCGTCCGTTCTTCCTGTAGTTGAGACAATGCTGCCTGGATAAGTGAATGAAGTAATCTCTTTCAAATCCCTTCCCGTTGATGGTGATTGGCGGTGTATGTTGCTGCTGTTGTTGTTGGTGGTGGTGGTTGTTTATTTTCATAACCTCCGTCTTTTCTATGTTCACCTGGAGTCCTGTCTTTGCTGCTTCTTCGACCAGTTTATCGGTTTTCACTTGTGAGTCTTCGATTTTGTGTGACATCAAACATAAATCATCCGCGAAATGATTTTAAACTAGTGCTGAGTATATGCAAGCCTATATAGGACGAAAAGTAGTAGTCGTTTGGGAGTATTACGCCTCAAGTAGCATGTAATAAAAGTTATTCTGAAGAGTTCGTTATATCGCCTGACTACCATAGTGAAGGAAGTGTGCTGCACTCTTTTTCTTCAAATACTACCTTATCAGATGATAAAGTCGTTGAGAAAGGAATCAAAATGATGAGTAGTAGACACCTTTATCGTTACGGATGACATGAATTTTCTGTACTACGTGGTCGATCCCAACACCATAGGACCTGACTCAAAAGATGGATTGTAAGGATTAGCATGTTGCTATTTAACTACTGGATCGTTATCCAGCTGCTTAGACTTCCACTTCATCATACAGCAATGTCGCCATAGATAGACATCTACTTTCACAAATTTCCTGATGCCACCCATCACTGCTTCCCCCAAAGAATTTGAGGCATTCCACCTTAAATTAAATTGCTAATGAATGCCTAATATTACGATTGCAAGAAGTCATTGAATCATTCAGAAGCACTAACTGACCTGACATGAGTGCTGAAGATTTGGATCTTGTTCTTTGTGCACAGCCAGTAAAATTACACAATGATTTCCGTCTTGCCTTTCCAATCCCCTTTGTTTTTGGCATCCTCACCACCGCTGCCTATCTGTAGTTGAAATGATGCTTCCTAGAGAAGTGAATGAAGTGAGCTCCTTCAAATTCCTACTATAGATAGTGATAGGTGTTAATTGCTGTCAATGTTGGGTAGTTACCTTCAACACCTTCGTCTCCTCTATATTCACCTTGAGTCTTGTCTTCGCTGTCTGCCTGCCTCGTCTATTCTACCAGTTTGTTGGTTCTCGCCTGTAAGTCTTTGAGCTGGCGTGAAATTAGACATAAATCATCCACACGCGAAATCCAGACTTTCTAAAGTCTTCTTATCGGTCAGCGCAGGATATTCCTTCCTTGTCACTCACTCACTGTGCACAGTTTGATGCATGATCCATTCCAACAAAATTAAGAATATTACCGGTGACAGTAGTCAGCCTTGTGTTATACTCCTGTATTCACCTCAGAAGTATCGTTTAACTTCTCCCTGTGGATCAGCTGAGAGGCGACATTGTATTAAAGCTGCTGAATGAGGTTGATGACGATTTGAGCACTACACCCCGTAATGTTGAAGTGGTTTCCGGATTAATTCCTGATCGGCGCCCTCGAAGGCCTTTTCAAAGTCGACGAATTGGTGGTATAGATCTGACCACCTTTCTATGCTCTGTTTGATGATGATTCGTAGAGTCGCAATTTGATCAGCACACGATTTGCATCTCCTTAATCCATCTTCTTTCCTCCGACATTCCGCATCCAGTGAGCCCCTCAATCTCTCCAGAATGACCCGACCTAATATTTTCCTTTGAGTGGACAGTAGCACGATTTCGTGCCAGTTCTTGTGAAGGTATCCTTTCTTCCGATCAGTAAATACCTTTCATTCTTTTCAAGCTTTTTGAAGTAGTGATGTTAGCATATCCTCCGTGGTCCCTGGATCCGTTTTCAGTGCTTCTGGATTAATTCCATCCGATCCTGCTGCCTTCTCAGTTGGCTTTCAGCAGATTTCTTGCATTCAAGACTTCTACTTTTGTCGTCCACTGTCAGTTCTGTGCCTGTTGCTGGTGGTGGTATTCTTGAACGAGTTGCGGCTTATGATTGGTCTATGAGTCCTTTGGAGTGATCCGTTGTTTCTCCCTTATGGTATCTACGTTCCCTCCATCATCTTTCATTGGTTTCATCTGTGTCGATCTCTTCCTCAATAGCGACTTGGTTATCGGATATCACGCACTTCTTTATTCGGGGACTGAACTCTGCTTCTGCTTCTATTGCCCAGGCTTGCAGTGACTCACTTTGTGTTTCACCATCTTACTCTCCTCTAGTACACTCCTCGGAGTCCATAGATAGCCGTTCCTAGTCTTGTCTCTTCTTTGTTACCAAAACGGTTATACCGGTTTCCACAAATATCACTTCAAATATTGAGATGAGAAAATAACAGAACTAAGCTATATAGTGAAAAATGCATCACAAACTTTGTTTTTAGAAGAATATTCTTGTCCAATGACGATTCCATTCTTCACTTGTAATTTTTCCCCGTTTCCTCATTTTATTCTTATATATTTATATTATTTAATCTATGAATTTCATTTATTTCTTAATAGGTTCAACGTGTTCTACGCACACGATGGCGAGTGCTATGTTCCAAGCTGAAAAATCAACCCTCTGAACGTACAAGACAAAAACAATCACTCACCACTGTTGGCTCTGGTGTTGGTGTTGGTGCTGGCGTTCTTACATCACAAAATAACTATGAAACAGAATATCAAATGAATTAAAACATGGAAAACAGATGCACACACACACCCACAAGCTCTACTGATTGACATAAGGCAGTTACCGTTGTATATTTAGTTATTTCTGTATTCTATGAAGAAGTTATTTTGTTGAATTTGGATTGTATTCAGTCGGTCGACTATTTGTTCCTATCGATTCATTCGTTTCTATGAAACTTATCGTGTATTGAAGTCAGTTAAATACAACATATTGTCACATAGTACACACCTTCTGACCACTGAATACGTGTCATTTACATATACTCAAAATTAATGAGGATGGTGATAGTGATGATGATTATAGTAATTGTAAAGTAACAACAACAGAAACTACTATTATTTCTTCTTCTGGAAAGATTTCACTTTTAATTTCTTTCTGAAAATAAAATAAAAAGGGGAGGGGTGATTAAGAGTTGAAAAGGGAAATTTCTTTTTCTTCTTCGTTTTCTAATAGTTATCTGTCTGAAACTATTCTTATATGAATAGTTATACTGTGATTATTCCCTTGGGTTCTGAGTGAAATATAGGGCTTCAACAACACAGCTCCACCTCTTTCTCTCTTCTGCCATCCTCTTCAACTGGGTCCATGACTGCCCATAATCTGTCATCTCCTCCTCCTCCAACTCTTACTATCTCCTACATATCATCCACTCAATGACGACCCACTAGTCGTTTCCTATTCGGATTCCACCTGAGCTATAGCTTGCAATGAGTGAGATATCATTTGATGGCCTCCTCAATCAGTCCATCTCCATATCCTCCTATAGATTTGTTCATCGATAGGTTCCTGGTCACTTTGTTTCCATACTTTCGTGTTGTTAATTCTTTCTTGCCGGATGGCCATTTGATCTTCAATATAGATAGGTGGTAGCTGTTGGTAAATGTCTTGATTAGCCTGTCACAAATGCTTTCTGTGATACGCCAAGTTTCTGACCCGTAGAGAAGAACTGGTTGACTGACTCCCTTCACATTCGTGTTGAACAGAATCCGAATCTTTTTCTTGATGCTGGCTGATTGCGTGAGTGCAGGAGGTTTCCCAACTGGTTTCAGGTTGATGAAAATGTTTCTCGCCTTTCCAATTCTGGCCTGCTTTGACATCTCTATCCGTGTCGTCTGACTGCCTGTGGTTGAAACCGTGTTTCCTGTCTGGATAAATGAAGGAAGTAACCTCTTTCAAATCTCTTGCTTTGATGTTGATTAGTGCTGGTTGTTGCTGCTGATGTTGTTTTGTTGGTTGGTTATCTTCACCACCTCCGCCTTCTCTGTGTTCACCCAGGGTCCTGTCCTAGCGGTCTACTTCTTCAACTACTTTGTTGATTTTCACCTGTAAGTCTTCAAGCTCGCGTGACATTAAACATAAATGATCCACGTGCGAAATCCAGATCTTCTACAGCCAGCTTGTGAATCCCATTTTCTACTGATTCCGGATTTTAGTACGACCAACAGCCAATATCATAATTTTCGACCAGGTGGACCCTACTAGTTGGTTTGTATGCACATGGTCCAAGGTTCGATCCTTCACTGACCCACACCTGATATCAGTGGTCGGCCTGCAAAATTTGGGCTAGCGATATCCCATGCTGAAAATTCCATACTTTTACCAAAAATACTGTGTGGTGTCAAGCTGTAATAAAAATAAAAATGTTGAATTAATGGGTAATTGAGTCGGATTCCAGTGGCTAAATGTTCTACGAGCTTGCCTTGTAACTGAAATTGACCTGGGTTTGAACCCTCGCGGTGAGTGCGCACTGAAGAACAGAATCAAACTAGAACGAAACAGCTGTGTAGTAGTCTCCGATGGTTTTCAATGGTTCTCTAACTGATATCCATCCGTGATCAAACTTTAAACGCATCACACCCCAACAAACAAACTCTTTAAAGTAAAAAGTATTCCACTGTTAGAGTAATTCTGGTAACTAAATGATCGTCCAGCTTTCATTTTAACCTGAAAACCATGAGTTCTATTTCTCGCAGTAGGATCATGGGTTCTAGTGAGAAATTGTGACCAGAAGGGTACACCATTTTGGCTGTGAGAACAAAATACTAGCCGGTAACATTGGCTAGTAGTCACGCCTTACATTACTCGAACTGACAGAAGCTAGAATTGATGGTTTGGCAGTTAGATTATGTTCGATTGGTTCAATAGTGTATGATCTCACTAAAGTTCGATGCCCTGTGAGATCATGGCAGTGTAATATTGAAGAATACCAAAAGCTAGGATGATACGGATATTAAGTGCTCCTTTTCGGTTTTTGGTGATTCTCTAAATTAAGTCATTTTTGGATCATTCCTGAAATCAGTTGAATCCCTGCAAACCAACAGTTGAAAATATAAGTCAAAGTTGGGTATTTTATGTGGTAAATAACTGTTTTCTAGTGTACGTAGCTATTTGAGTGCTTCAAGTTAATCTCCGAGGATCCGTGATGGAAAGCGGTTTTCCGCCTACATTCATAGACAAGAACCTCAAATCAAAGAAGACTTCCGGACAAGTTTAATCCGTCCCGAAGAAGATACTTCTGCTTAATCTAGAATTCAAAGGTGACATTGAAGCAGAAATCCCTCGTAAACACCTCTGCAAATCTCTGAAGGAAGGCATACTTCGCCACAAGCCTACGACTACCGTTTTCCTGTAAGAAACTGTTTTGCCAGAACGCGAATGACAAGCTGTCACATTGGGCCACTTCAGCGTGCATATACCAGTTTACTTGCTCTTGCGGAGCTGAGTACATCGGCCGTACCATGCGCCAACTTGAAAAACGCGTTCGTCAACACCTACTTCAATTCAAACTGAAGTATGCGCTGATGTTGCCTAGTAAGGCAATGAAAGCTTCGCAGATAAACCATCCAGCTGCTCAGAGAACATAACTACATAGAAATCATCCACCTGAGATACAAATCTTCTCCATCATATCTCGGAAATGTGTAGCATGTATCTTCGTTACATATTTCAGATAATCTCATCTCATACACGTACCTGTCAAAAATATCTATATGAAAGACAACAGAATTTAAAGGATCAAAACTGAATCGATGTAGGTCAAAATATTTATTTAGGGGTCATGATCACAGATAGAAAAGAAGACAAAAGCAAGTGAAAATCTTATTACGTAAAACAAGCCTTGATTCAAAACTGCTAAGCAAGATAGATTCAACGTAACAGGAAATACTTTTTGTGCTCATAAAACAGGTCTAAGCCTTCTTTTATGACTAAGAATTCAACAAATTCAAGTTTATGTATTCGTGTTTAGAAGCACTGTTGGAATTACCTTTATGACATGTCTCTGTGACGCACTTTTTAAGATGGAGGCTACTGAGCATCTATTTCCAGAGATGAATTTATTTCTTCCTGAAGCCAATTAGAAATTCGCTCCACGGCCCTATCCCACAGACATCGATGAGTCCTCATTATATATATGTGGTCACACATGTAAACTGGTATACACAATGGCCTACGACGTCATCTTCCAGATGTTGTGAGGGTTTATACAACACCATTTCATCTTGTTTGTTAAGATGAGTTTAGCTGCTGCAACGTGTGACTACAAGTCCTCTCTTAATTGGAAAGCCTTTGATGAACACTGTTGTGAACGGTAAACAGAAAGTAAGACAATTTTTATGCATCATCAGCGGCCTGCACATTAGTTGGAGGATTTCATCATGACTTGACATCAGTTACAGAGCAATTGGAAACCACCAGGGAGTACTGGACAGCCAAATGTTTCGCCCTAGTTTGGGACTGTTAATCAGTAAGTATACACTGGGGTTTGAGCCTAGAACCTTCTTGTTACAAGACAAGTGAGCTCGTAGACCATTAAGCCACTGGGACCCGATCCAATGGCCCATGAATTCTAACTCCTCCACATTATTTCTCTTGTTCAGTTTGTTTAAATCTAGTAAAATATGACCTCTAATAGTAGGGTTTATTCTGGTGAATATTTAAAACATCTACAACTTGTTGATTCACAAGGTTCTACTAAACATGAGAAAAATCATTATCCTCAATGGATGGCAATTTATACCAGTAAATGAGATGACGGTTCCTCACTGGTGTCCCTGGTTCGCAAAATGTACTGCTGAACTTTTTATAATTGGCATTTAACAAAATGTCGTCGTATATTTCTAGAAGGAGGAAAAGAAAGGGTGTCACGATGGATTGGTTTGTGCTTCAGATCAGATACAATTGTGTCACATGATCTACTAACAATTAAACTTTTATCTGGAAATCCCAGACGAAGAAAAAATATCATGCAAAAACCCAGCTGAAATTTCTGTACATTATAAAATAGCTTCTCTTGAAATGAGCAATGAGTGACCACTTTTTATTTAATAAGGAACTATATAGACAAATCGATGGTGTGACAATGGGTTCACCACTAGGACTCATTCTAGCCTATATTTTTCTTGCAAAATTACAAAATGGGCCCTCGGAAAGATGTTGTTGATGAACTTGAATTCTATTGTCAGTACAATGATGATAAATTTTTAATTATGAAAAATGAGGAGGAAGCAAACAACATCCTGGATTGATTTAATTAGGTTCATCTTGCAATAAATTTTACCTTCGAGAAAGAAAAAGACTGCAGTATTTCGTTCCAAGATGTCCTTATGACCAGAAAAGAGTATGCTACAATGATAAGAATTAGAAGGGTGTATAGAAAACCTACATCAACTGACTGTAAGTATACTCATTTTTTCAGCTTCGTGCCCTTAAAATACAAATGCAATCTGATAAAGTGCTTCGTTCACAAAGCGACAGCAATCTCCTCGGATGAATGTCTTGATGAGGAACTTAATAATATTAAACGGTTGCTGAGTGAAAATGGTTATCCCGAAACGTTTATTGATAAGAATATGAATTTACAATCAAAGCAGTCCAAGTTACCAGCAGTTCCTACAAAGGCAATGTTCTTACAAATTCAGTTCCTTGGAGATAACATCAGCGTGATACTAACACAATGCCTTAGGAATGAGTTAAAATGAAGAGCATTCTCTGCTGCTGAGTT